GTTTAGGTAAACAAAAATTTTGCATTATGTATGAGTATTTTCTGATTGAGTTCAATTAATTTCAAGAACTTAGTTTCCGAGTTCCGACTACTCAGAGCACAGAAATGTTGGATTTGTTAATACTTCATGATTAGGTTGCTCTTCTTTTCATGGTCATATCACAATATCAGCAACCAACTACATGTATCCAACTATCCATTTGAAGATGTTGCATATATGTCCGATAAAAGTATGAAAAGGCGATGGGAATCTTGCAGTAATAATGGTAACCACTTAAAGTTATACTAACGTCAAGAGATAATTCATCTCAAATTCACATACTTAATTTTAGCAAATGAAAAAAGAAAAGGCACAACTATTAAATTAACTCACCTAACCTTTCTCAACAAAGTTCAAACAGTCTCTCATTGAAAACTTTCTAACTTTCAATTACAATAGACTATTTTAACTGTTAATCCATCCACACTTCTTGCTTAATGTGAAAAATCTAACACAAATCACCTCTTTGCAATAGTAGGAGGACAAGGTTAAGATGAAAAAGACCTTTCAAAAATAGCAAAGGTAAGGTAGCATACATATCATATGTAACACCCCAAACTCCTCCTTTAAGAAATCTAGAATAATAATCCTAAATCCTCTTTCGATATAGAGAAGTACAACCTTAAGGTTAGTGATGATTCCTAACCACTTTTCTTCATTAAGGTGTTTTATGAAGTTCCAAATATCATTATCATTTAAACATCCCCATAATTGATAAACAATAAATTGTAACTAGGTAAAGGTGAGCAAGGGCTAGGAGAACTTTCTATGGTTTTCCTTTTCACATGTCTTTTTTTTTTTTTCCTTTTTTTTTTTTTTTTTTTTTTTTGTGAAAGAGAGGGACAAAGCCCCTTCTTTTCATGTGTTTGTGACCAAGTTTATAAAACATATGTTCGGCATAGCTTTCTTGGTCAACGTTAAATTTGTTCACATATTTAAGTCCCTTTTGCATTTCGTGGCTATAATAAGTTAGCCTTACATAGTCCAAGATACTCATCATCTGTTTTATAATTCGAGCATATATATCAAATTAACAAGCATACTTTATCTGAACTTATTTTAGTTGTAATTTGAACTTGGGTAACCCTTATTTTTCATGAGGTGAACTTATATGAACTTGAACTTATTTTTCCTACACTTATCTCGAATTTATCTAAACTTAACTGAACTTAGATCTGAAATAAGTGAAAATAAGGTGAACAGAATAGGCCATTACTCACATATTTCACAAAGAATAAATTTTATCTTCAACCACTTCACAATTAGGAATAACTATCACATAACTTGTAAATATTTAGCCAATATAATCAAGAATGATCCTATCCACTCCCTTCCAAGTTCCAACCCCTCAGAACTAATTATCATGATAAAAAAATAAAAAAAAAAAAAAAAAAAAAAAGTTATCCCCATATGGTCTCGATTACCTAACCAGGGTAACCATTCTATGGGATAAATTTGCATTCTTCTGCGGAAATAATGCAGTAATTTCACAACCCCACATTAAAAAAACTCAATTATAAATACATGTAATCTTAAGCAGTAGTTTCAATGTAGTATCAAGCATTTAACATCCCATTTCACAAACAATCAATCAATACAGATAAAACACAAAATTAACGAATGCAGATCATATGCAAGCTATCGAGTGCACCTGGGATGTAAACATGTACAGCATAGTTGCCTTCTACATGGGGAAAGCTCCGAACCCTTGCGGGTTGACCCGTTTGCAAGTTATCAATTATACCTTTAAAACATAGCAAACAAAACATCAAACACTTGGTGTGCATACGTTATATTTGACCCAATTTGAATTAGCAGCATACATGAAAGAATAGAATGGTTTGGAGAGTGGGAGAAAGGAGGGGTTTTGCTTACCAAGGAGAGAATTTGGTGGGGTGAGGAGAGCTAGTGGAGGCGGAGGAAGCGGTGACGGCGATGGCGATTGCGACGGCGGTGGATTCTGAGGCGGAATTGAGACTGGTGTTGACGAGTTCGAGTCTGAGTCTGAGTCTGAGTCGCCGTAAGATGCTAGCAGAGCATCCATGGTTGGTTGCCACTTTTCAGTTCTTCTCACTAAGATGACCTTTCTTTCTCAAAAACATTTGATATCTCTAGGCTTGTTTTGTCCACGTCTGATCTGAACTTATTTTTTCTTATCTGATCTAATCGAAACTTATATTTTCTAAAATAAGTAAAAATAAGTTGAACTAAACAAGGCCTAAAGAGAGGTTTTTGTCTGCTCACTCTACATCCTCCGTTTTTATTTCACTGTATTATAAAGAGGCTTTATTGATTACTCGTAAAAAGAAAAGTGATGCAACTACTTTGAAACTTTCATTTAGAAAAGTGATGCAACTAAAAAGAAATTGAGGAAATATAAGCTTGAGTTAAAATTGTAATTTGCAGATTATCACTCTAAACATTACGTTGCTACTTCATGCCATTTGATACACATAGTATGTTGATCACATAGATAAACTAGGGCTGCCTCGCCCCAGATTGGTAGCCCATCAATAAAGGGGCTACTTAACTACCCCGGTTAATCTTTTTTATAAACAAGATTTGTTTATCAAATTGCAGTTTTTGTTATAAAATAGAGGAAAAGAAAGAATGAAAGATGAAAAATGTATTGTGAATATTGATCGCCTATTCTATATATCCATTTATTTCCATTTACCATACAACATATTTAATATTTATACATGAAACTTGTACCTTTTCAATGACAGTAGGAAGCCAAGCCACCATTATGAGAAAAGTTACAAAGGAATGTAACAAGGTTAAGAAAGTTACAGGTTTCGGAAAAAGAAAAAGGTTAAGGGAGTTACAAGGAGGGTTACAAAGGGAAGTAATAAATTAAAGTGTTTGCTTAGTTTTTTGTGTTTTATTGTTTTAACTAGTCTGTGGCCCCGAGCGTTGCCCCGGATTCTTAATTTGAGTAAGCAATTTTATTTTTTTGGATTTGAAAGATAGAGTTAAGATTGTTCCCTTGTAACAAACTTAAAGGTCATTGAACAACCGTAAATTATTTAAATTTTTTTCTAAGATTGTACCGTGTGTGAAATATTCAATTTAAAAGTAATTGTTGAATCTTTTATAGACATTAACTTTGTAACATAATTTAGATGATATTTCTATCTTTTTACTAAATTAAATATATAGTTTTACCAAAAGAGTTAATAGTGTTCAACAAAAAAATTTTCATGAATAAAAATTTGAATATCATGCACAACAGCAAACCACAATCAAACCATCTTAAATAATAGAATACAAAATTAGGCAACTTACCAATTTTGTTTCCCTTGACAATTTAATGATAGTGATGAACTGTCGACAATAACCGCAAATTACTCAAACTTGTAATACACCATACAAAAAAAGGTATAAAACCAAATTAAAATATATCTACTATTGAAGGCCAAGTTCCCATAGCCAATTAGATATTAAAGGGTAAAAAGTAAGTGATTAACAAGTTGTGTAAGGAAAAAATAGCAAGCCTTTGGAGATGAAGAGTTTATTAGAGTTACAAGAATATTATAAGGATAGATGGCTAGCTAATTGAAAACTACAATTGGAAATCTTTGGGGGTTTAGTTACATGTAATTTTGGTTACAAACTAAAGTGAATTATTGATGACTAAAAAGTGAATGAATGTAAATTAAAGAGAAATGAATGTAATTTAAAGATAAAAGAATACAATATAAAGTTAAATGAATGGGATTTGAAGAGAAGTGAATGTAATTAAAGTGAAATGAATGTAATTTAAAGTGAAATGAATAGAATATGAAGAGATGAAAAGAATGGGATTATTTGATGAGAATTAGAATTGATTTTGAATAAGGAGTATTCCGTAGTAATTTTGTATTCCTTTTGGGTTTTTTTTTTTTAATAATTATTTACATTTTTAGTTAATAATAAATGGCTTGCAAATTATTTCTTGTTGTGATGAGCATTCATGAAAATTAAAGTGTATGTATCAAATCTTTAATTAACCCAATCAATTTTTATAACAATATTTATGCCATGTTATTGTTCATGTGGCACCACCTCATACTAAGGAAGAGATGATACATATCAATCACATGTGAGTTTTAAAAAAAATATAGATAGATTTGCGAGGGTTTTACTTTCCTCCTCCATTGAAGTGGCGAAGTTAAAAAAAAAATGTGACAACAACAATTAATTGAGGCTGCCTAGGTTTATTTAAACCAAATTTTACGGTAATTAAAAAATAAAAAGAGAAAGTACATATAATACATTAAAAAGAGAAAAAAGTAAGTTTTTTTTAAAAAATAATGGTGAGAAACGGAGAACCTTGACCAAACCTTAGCTCTTAATTTTTTTGGTCCGGTACTTTTCATCTCAAATTCTCAATCAATTTAACTTGATTTTGTTTTTGGTCAGAAACTTAATAATCTCTTAGGGTGTGTTTTATTCACTTGATTTTCACTTATTTAAACTTATCTGAACTTATTTGAACGTAACTAAACTTATTTTAGTTGTAATTTGTACTTGAACAACCCTTATTAATACCTTATTTTTTCTGAACTTAACTTAACTTAACTTATAATAATACAAATAGAATAAGCCCTTAAAACCTATTTACCAATTGTGGTTTTATTTATTTATTTTTTTTTTTTTTTTGAGGAATTACCAATTGTTTAATGGAAAAATTACAACCATTGACACCAACTTTGGGGGATGTTACAATTATTGACGCTAACTTGTACCACTAGTTATATTGACACCAAATTTAATTGAAAAAAAACATAAAAACATTAATAATGCCTAAGTGGGGTCCACTTGCTAGATACTTATTACTTACTGTATTTCTATCTTTTTTAGTATTTTGAAATAGATTAATAAATCAGTAATTAATTGTAATGCGTTAATTATTGTTTAAAAAAAAAAGCTCCAAATTAAAATAACAAAACCCCAATTTTTTCTCTCTCCTCCTTTCTTCAGTCATTTTCTTTGCTTATGCTCTCCTATCTTCATCTTCTTTTTTTCCATAAGAACCCTAACTTTTTATGAGACAACATTGAAAAAATTAAAAATGGTGAGGAGTTTAAACATGTGAATTTTGTTGCTTTTACAAATTAACAGCCACAATTAAAACTATTTGGAGGTGATTCCATGGTAGTGTCCAATTTAACATCCGTATGCAAGTCATCAATCACATCATTCTAAGAATTTGTTAGAGGGGTCAAGTTTTTGAAGTAGCAAACCTTCAAGAGTTGCCGTAAAAAAATCCCGAAAAGGTGACTTTTTAAGCAACCTACTGCTTTTGGCTCTAATTTTTATTGAATATTTTTTGGCAGAATGCCAAGTTGTTAAGATGTAACTATGCTAAGTAGTATATTTAATTAATGTATTGAAATATGATTTCTCCCAAAAATTGTTGTTACTTTTATGGTGCTGATGATGATGCTTAAGACATATCAACGACTCCATGTTGCCCAACCTGGTATGTAATTACCAAAAAAACAGAAGTGTAAGTATGTAAAACATGTAGAAGCTTATGAGCCTCTTTTTTAACTCTATAACATGCCCAACTTTCCAATTTCACTCCAAATTTCTCCATGACAACTTTAGTTAATGCTTTCTTGGACCAATTAGGATCAATCTTGTATTGCATCATGAATTCTCTAGCAAGCCATTTGGGCCTACATTGGATAATTTCAAAATCTTGCCTATTGCATGAATGATTAGGATTAACAGATTTCACCACAAAAGATGACTTATCTCCATTCCAACTAGCATAAATACTCCATGAACACCCTGCCTTGCAATTTCTTCATCTTAAGATTTCTAGTCCACTTTATATTGTACCCAGCTATTACAACATATCTCTTTACCATTTCTCTAAAGAGCTCAGGTGAGTTAAACTTCATTCCAACCCTCCATACAAGGCTTCTAAACTCGGTATTCTATCAACTTTGAGTAAATTTTGTTGTTTGGGTATGTCATCAGGGTCTGAATTACTCTCGTATGGTGTTTCATATTCACCTTCAGAGTTTTCATATTCAGAATTTGAGTTTTGATCATCATACTGATAATGTGCTATTGGATTAGCAAGTGTATACTCCCTAAGTTTGCTCTTATATTGTAACCATCCTTCATCTGATGAAGTCCAATCAAAATGTATATCTATTTCAGTCTCGTTGTATGGATTCTCTATTATATGCTCATATATGTCACAAGTGGACAAATAATCCCTATCCAATTCAGTTTCATAGTGGGTGTCTTCCTCAACCATTCCATTCCCTTTGTCTATCGTTTGTCCACTACCATGTTCACGCCCACCCAATGACACAAGTATAGGAGCTACAGCCTGTTTCCTACCTGTATATTTTTTTCTTGTACCATTAGAGCCGAGCCGAGGTGGGTCATATTATGAGTTATTGACATCCATTTAGGCTCTCATATTTTCCCTATTTCAACCTACGAAGGCATAATTCAATACAAAATTGAAACAAAATCAAATCTAACAACACATAATACAAATTTTCACAACCCAACAACACATAAAAATCCATTCAAACAAAACATAATTCATAATTTTTTTAAAAAAATGGCTGCAAACTTAGGTCGGATTCACAATTGCACTTAAAAGGACCAAACTTTCATCAATGTTTAATGAATTAAATAATGTAAACTAAAAAGACAAAACCAATTCTTAAAGCTTACCACTTAGGCGCTCCAAGCAGAGCCTAATTATCAGCTTCAAAAAAAATTGTTTGTCTTTCAAATTTGGTAAAAATAGCATACTAATTTACAATAATCTACCATTGAGTTCAAATCTATACCAAAAGATGATGATGAAGGATGGGAAAAATAAGTAATGAAGAGCAAAAGGAAGAATAATCAACAAAGAAGATGAATGGCTGAAGAAGAGAGTAGAGAGAAAAAATTGGGGTTTTGTTATTTTAATTTGGGGCTTTTTTTATAAAACCATAATTAACACATGAAACTTAATTACTGTTTTAATAATCTGTTTTAAATTATTAAAAACGATACTTATATGGTAAATGATAAATTTATGGCAAGTGGACCCCACTCAGGTATTATTAATGTTATTTACGTTTTTTTAAATCAAAGTTGGTGTCAATAATTGTAACACCCCAAAATTGGTGTCAATGCTTGTAATTTTGCCATTGTTTAATCCTGCATAAACTTACCAAAATCAATTCCAAAAAAAAAAAAAAACTCCACTACCCCTATAAATACAAGGGTGCGGAGCGAGAAAGCGCTATACCAATTTAACATCTTCTTGCCTCTCGCAGACCCTCTCTTTTTCCACTAACCTACAAAATGTCAGGAGAAGAAGAAGAGAATGCATCAGAGCTAAAATTGGGCGAAGATTTCGTCAAAGCAAAGTGTTTGATGAATGGAGAAGTAGCCATGATTCTTGAACACAGATTAGAACAATTACAGCAAGTTTCAGATGATCCCTTGAATCAGATGCCCCAAGTTTTCGAGAAATCTCTGCAATATGTAAAGCGATTCAGTCGTTACAAAAACCCAGATGCTGTAAGACAGGTTAGAGAGATTCTTAGTCGTCATCAACTAGCCGAATTCGAGCTCGCTGTTCTTGGTAACCTTTGCCCAGAAACTGTTGAAGAAGCCATTGCTATGGTACCTTCGCTTAAAGATAAAGGAAGGGATCTTGATGATGAAGCTATTGAGAAGATGCTTACTGATCTTGCTATGGTTAAGAAGTTTGAGTGATTTTGGTTTCTGGGTTGCTTGGATTTTAGGGTTAGGGTTTCTGGGTACTGCGTATTCGTCATCAATTTTTAAAATTTGGTGTTTTTAGGATTGTTAATTGAGAATTCTAATGCTATGTACTGTTCAATTTGACGAGAAATTGATGGTAGTAAACTGGTAATTGATGTGTTTGTGATGTGCATATCAAATGTTTGATGAAAGTCCTTGCTATGATATTGAACTGAAATTGGAAAGAATGGTTATATCAATCGAATCAAACTTGTAATTGACAAATATTCATCATTTCGATGTTATGATATTGAACTGAAATTGGAAAGAATGGTTATATCAATCGAATCAAACTTGTGATTGACAAATATTCATCATTTCGATGTTATGATACCTTGAATTTTTGCGTTTGTTCGTTCATACTTGCTTGCCGGATGTTTAAAACACGATTTTCGGCATTGCCTTCTGTTTGATGATACTTACTTTCATGTATGCAAAAGTTTATGAACATTATATAATGTAAGGATTTGAGATGGTTATTATGAAGTTAATCAATAAAAGGCACAGTACTTCGGTTTTAAGACGATGTTATTGCCAAGAAGATACAATCATTGATCATGTATCTGCTAGAAGCTATTATAGTCATTCTGCTTGTTAGAAGTTTAGGTTTTTACTTTGCACTGTGGAAGCCTTGTAGTCTGCATAACAGAGAAGCAACGCCTTGTATGGTTTTACCTTACAAGATTCAGTCCAAATTTCCGAATGCAATTTGTTTGGCTTGGACGTAGAATGATTGTTTGCTAGTTTTGTTATGATGCCTATATGTTTATAAATCTTGTACGGAGTACAAAGTAGTGTGTTCAAGCTGAACGCCTGAACCTGCTCGCTCTTGTATGCGTTCTCAATTTGTCTACATTGCTAAAATGGCACTAGGGATCTCAATGCAGAAAAAAAGGCCTAATGGATGACTTATATTCTGAATAAAAATCAATTGCTGCAAAGCTTCTAGTTATTCTTACTCCATCTGCAAATGGCGTTGAATCCATCACTAACTAATCCATATACTTTTGCTATGAGGCTTCCATTTTCCTGGAAACATAAATGTCTGAATCATTGCTCAACATCTGTTATCATGCTTCAATTATCATTACTTTTGGATGGGAAAATTCAGAAAATTCACTTCTGAATTTGCCTCAACAAATTCACTTCTGAATTGGTAAAAGTAATAGCATCACTTTCCTGTGGATGAGACTTAGCATCTATGGAGTAAATTGTTAAGTGATGGTATAAATCCCTCTATTAATTTCTACGGCTAATTGAGTTAGTTTTCTGCCTTTGCCTGAGTCCGTCTGGAAACAATTGCTGACAACTGGCGAGTAATGTATCGATGCCTTCTACAAGCACTGCATTATTTTGCATCCCTGTATCAAATTGGACTGTCGAACTAACCATAGATGATCAAATTTACACTTACCTTAACTACTACACGAGTTAGTCTACCTGTAATAATAATTAAGGGCTGCAAAATGTATGCTACTTCCCAAAACTTATCCCACTGATGGGCAAATAACCCCCTCAAATTGTATAGAACATAACATTTGTACCAGTTAAATGAAGTGAACAAAGTGTGAGCCCTTACTCAATTTCCAAAATACTCCACTTCATATGTAATTTTCATGCACTAGGAAGTCAGAATTTCCCTCAATGGACTCAGCTCCCTTCTCATGTTAGTATAAACATGTAAAACAACTGGATTATCCTACATCACTGAAAATGACTATCTAGTACAATCATACAGCTGACTAAAAGGAGAGAAACAAAAGAAGAAATGTCTCTGCCACACTCTAGCTAAATCAGAGGAAAGCAAACACCTTAAACTCACTTAATGCCTAGGAACATAAGACCTTCATGCTTGAGTAGTTGACACCTTTTGAGCCACCAATTGGATCTCTTTTACCCTCTCATCAACTATTTGAAGCAGCTGCTGCTCTTGCTGTTTCTTTTGATCCTCATCAAGGACATCAACATCAACGTGACCATCTTCACAATCTTGAGGCTTGTACATAACAAATGCATCTTCTCCAAAGTCATTTGGGGTGTCAATTACCTGCTTCCCTTTAGTCCCTGTATCCTTACCAATCACACTAGCTTTCACTTGATCTGTGATGTAGATCCTGTAGTTCTCCATGTATTTGTCAACTGGATTTAGGGCAATATACAGAAGAATCTCCCAGCATTTCAAAAATTGCTTCTTATTGATTTTTAAGCTCTTCCTCACTTCATTAACAGCTGTTAATGGTGGAAGGAGCTGAGAAGACTCTGTTCTCTTTGACAAATTGGCTTCTTTTAGATGTGTAGCAGCAGTATCAACTGCAGACTGCACAGCACTGCAAGTGAGCAGGCGTGGTACATCAATGTAGTACTGAATACGTTGTAAGGAATCCACTGGTTCTTCAACTGTCAAGTCATAGACACTCTCAGACATAGCAGCATTGTTGAGTATCTCCAAGAGGCGACGTCCATACCCTTTCTGTTGATAAGGAGGCAATACAAGTACCTGGGACAATAATATAACATGTTGAGTCAGTATTGGCAGATTTGAATTTGTCTAGCTCTAGCCAGTTAATGATGTACAAAATAAAAGAGAGACCTGACTAAGTCGAAGCCGTAAAGTATCAGGGTAATGGTAAAAACGATAAGCAGCTGCAAAACCAAGCAATCTACTTTGGTCTCCCTCTGGGTCAGCTATCTTCTGAACAATGACATACATCTCCCAACATGAATCCGTAACATCAATAGGATTGCTACCTGTTGCCCATACAAACATAACAGATTATACTCCAACATAAGATAACAAATCAATCAAAATTCATAAAGACAGCAGAGCAAGACGAAAGATAAAATTACCATCGACAAGTAGAAGAACAAGAGGCACTAATCGGCTATAAAGAAGCCCAGCAGTCATGTCACCCATGACAAAGCGAATCACCTAAGAGAAGGTAAATTATAATATTATACAACATTGAGAAGGCTGTTAGGGCAGGATAAAGGAAATGCAAGTCAACCACAATGAGACATAGGATCTGACTGGAGACAAGTGAGGGAATCCAAAAGGTGTTAAAAAAACATGGGATTGACAGAGAGCTACACAAAAAAACAAAAAACTTGAGATGATACTAAGATAACTTACCCAGGTTACATTGTACAAATCAAGTCCTACCTACCAAGGCCTGGTTTGAAAACTCAGTAAACATTCCCAACTCCCCTGTGCTTTTACCATTTATTAGTCAAATACATTGTGAACAGCATTGAGACTACTCTAGCCTTTATTTATGGTTATAAGTTCAAAACATTCTGCTGATAACCGCTAAACGCAAAAAGTGTATCAAACTGATCCTTTATGCAAACATAGGGGAATTTGAACAAGAAAGAACCTGTGTATCAGTAGTATCTGCATGGGAATGACCATTGCCATCAGTGGTATTTTGAAGCAGTACTTCTCCCTTGGAGATAACTGAACTGAGATCATAACAACATGAGATGGACCATTAAAGAACTGTGTTTCCCAATCAGATAATGGAAAACAGTCTTGGAGAAGATTTCCATATTTCAACGCAAATGAACAGTGCTTCTTAATAGATACCTGATGTAATGCTTTTCTATTGTGAAAGTTTGAAAAAAGTCGTCCTTTTTCTCAACAATATTTTCTGCAAACATATCCTGTGAAAGAGAATCAACATATTAAACCACATAGTTACACAAGTGCCATTGCTTCTCAATAAATACAGTGAATAATACCTGAAGAGCAGCTTTTAGGTCTGTAATGCCTTTCCCTCTCTATGAGCAAAGCAACAGCAAACCAAGATACATAAGAGAGTATAAAATTTTACATGTGCTACAACAAAAGAGTTTCAAAGCCTAGTCTAACTAAAAAGATTTTACAGGACTTACATCAGATGAGCTCTCAAAAGTGATATCTGTATACACATGAAATGACACACTGCTAACCCAAATTGTAATCTACAATAAAAGGTTGTACAAAATTTATCAGAAAAAATGCAAAACATTGCAAATAATGCTAAACCATGAGCAGGTTAGGTTAAAAGCTCTCACCTTTAAACTTTGGTAGCCGTAAATTTTCCCATCATCATCAAAAAAGTGATTCAGATCAAGAGGATCAATCTGATAGCCAGTCCCAGCTTCTGCCTCGTCTTTGCTGCCAACTAGAATTCACAAAACAAAGGAAACAGCCAGTTCAATCAAAGCATGTCATAGACTCACAAATCCTGAATAAGAGAGTGTAGGTATTCATAATAAAAAGTCTCAAATTCTAGAGATGTCACCAATCTCACCATTAATAGTTAATTTGGTGTTTTAAACTTTTAATAGTTCAACATAGTACATCAAAATATTTGGTTAATGATGCTATCATAATTATGATGAAATGTTCCAAAGCTTTATTAAATTACAGTAACCCAGCTTCTCATTAGTTTTTCAAAATCTCATTTTGTCAGTGACTGATAATGAAGAGACAATAAATGCAAGTAACAGCAGTTGTGATTTCATCAAAGTTTTCCAAAGAAAGTGCAGGCAAAGACGGTTGTTAACAACAGTTTTTTAGTTAGACAATTGTAGTACTTGGCAATTTTTACGTCGGAGGAATCCTCATTTGCTGACTTATTTCTGGCCTAACACTCAAGAAGTTTGTTCTCTTATTGCCTCCATTTCCTAATCAAAACTAAGACATGGCTATAGTCGAAAATATAAAGGGTATATGATTTGCTTTTTGAATGATAACCTATCATGCTCCAAATCTCCAATCTTAAGAAGATAATAGTCAGTACATTAATATCCAGTGAATCTGGTTCTAAATTTGGGGTTAAACATGTAATGTAACTAAGGCATTCTTCCTAATAGAAAATTAGCTAAAGTGCTTCTGAAATTTATCAATTGATTTTTCTTCTACAGAAAGAAAGAGATAAAGTAAAACCCTGTACAAAACTCCAGTGAATATCATTAACAAAAGTCTTCCAATCATTCTTCCTACACTCCTCTTTACACACTCTACGACTATATTACATGTGACCCTTTCCGCAAAAACAGAAAATGAGGCCTCAAGTTGACTACTTTACACCTTCTAGTTGTGCTATATGTCAGACAAAGCTAATCAAAAGAATCTAATTCACTTAGGATGATATGAATAGTATGTGAAGCTAACTAGTAACAGTAGGTGAAAAAATCACTCATTCAAAAGGACAAAAGAGGCACAGTGAGCCTAAGTAGGAGGGGGG